ACACTGGAACGCTTCAGCAGATTTACATTTTTTGTTTGGTTTGTTTTTGTTTCTGTTCTGATTTGTCTGGTAGGCGGTCGGGTTCTGGAGATTGGTTTTGGCATGGCCATCGCCGCCACTAAACTTGAGTCTTTCCCCATTGAGGAGCACTGGATCATCGAGTGCAACGATGGTGTCTTTGCCAGACTGGAGAACTGGGCCAAGTCTCAGCCCCATAAGGTCAGCAGATCGCAACTGATACACTTTATCACAGATATGTTGGATGGACTCTGGTGTGACTGCTTGCTGCTCCAGTGTTTGCTGTTCCTTTCTAAAATGTGATGATGCTGATAAGTGAAACTGGTGTTTATGTTGCTGCAGGTTGTCCCTCTGAAGGGTCTGTGGGAAAATGTTGTTCCCACCCTGCCAGACAACCACTTTGATGGTAAGAAATAAAACAAGACATAGGGGGAACTTGTGGAGATATTCTTTCTGTTTAGCTTGAATCAAAATCAGTAGGTCCAAATCCTTATTCCATATTCTCAAGCTAGAGTGACAGATGAATACAGCTTGAGGTATTTTCACATTTCACTGTTCGGAAGCTAAAAAAACATAAAGTCAGGATAAAAAAATGTCTTTGTAAAATGTATTGATAGACCTTGTTGTGCACTGCTAACACTGTGTCCCTCCTCTCTCAGGTATCCTGTATGACACATACCCTCTGACAGAGGACACATGGCACACTCACCAGTTTGACTTCATTAAGGTAGGTAGTTAAAATCCACATACAACAGCCCAGTAAGTTACACACAGGACGTGGTATGAAAAGTTTAAAAATCTGGATGAGGAATCGCTGAATACTTGGAATTGTTTGCATGAAAAGTGGATTAAACATTGTGAATAATAGTACAAAACATGTACCAATACACAATAGTAATGATTTAAAGTGTAACAATGTTGGTAGTTTGTGCAGACAGACACTGTATGATAGTGATAATATTATTTCTTGTTTCATTTAATACACACAGCAGACCTGCTTTATTTTCTTTAGGTCAAATCCTGAATGGGCTGAAGGACTCATTGATTTGTTGGTGTCTGTGTTTGTCTGCAGGGTCACGCTCACAGGTTGCTGAAATCCGGCGGCGTTCTCACCTACTGCAACCTTACCTCCTGGGGCGAGCTGCTCAAGAACAAATACGACAACATTGAGAAGATGTTTGAGGTAGGTCACCTTCATTACCTCTTCAAGGACAAGAAATCTAACTTAACCCTTAAACTGAACACAGTATGTACTATATACTAATCATTACATCCCTTTTCTTTAAAGAACGTTCTTCTTTCACCACTATTTACAATTTATTTTAATGTTTTGCAGCTGTGAGTAGCTCCAACATTTCATTTGTCCATCAAAAATCAAATGTTCTTTAGTTTGCATACTGACTTATTTGAGTCATTTTTTCACTTTGTCACTGTGAAGGCAGTATATACTTAAATATATACTTAAAAGTCATCTGCTGTGTAGAACAGAGACACAGCTATTATAAAGTTATTGCAACCATTGGTTTTCCAAAAGAAAGAGGTGACATTTGCACAAAATCCAGAGAACAAACATTATGTCCTGCAGGTAAAGTGCATGTTTTAATTTAAGACTTAAATAACCTTTTCTGAGGTGAGGACAGTGAGTTTAAGTTGTCTGATCTCTTAAAGAAGAAATTCAGGGGAGAGTCTTGGTCACCTGTGGTGCAGTAAATAGTGTATTCTGCAATTCTTTTGACGTAAGAAAGGTTAACGTACAAGCTACTGAGTACTGAGATATGATAAATATCAGTATAATCATCAGTCGCTGGTATTGGTTGAACTATACTTGCAGATACTGTACCTGTTGAATCATGGACATGTGTTTCCTGAATCTGAAGTTAGATTGTCCCTGTCCTGCAACATGTATTTCAACAGGACTGTTTAGACTCTAGTATTTGATTGATTTCTGTCACGGCATCAGGGTTGAGCTGAGTGCAACTTGTGTTACATGCTGCGATAATTTCAAGGTAAATGATAAACAGGATCAGGGCCAGAGAAGCTGATACAGCTGTGAGCCTCCTCACACTGACCACCTCTGTCTGTTAATAATTTTCAGGAGACCCAGGTGCCTCATCTGGTCCAAGCTGGCTTCAAGAAGGAGAAGATTAGCACCACCACCATGGACATTGCACCACCCAGTGAATGCAAATACTATTCCTTCAATAAGATGATCACTCCCACCATCCTCAAAGAGTAAAGTCTGAAGAAGCTGCTTTAACCTTTTTTTTATTTTAATCCAATGTGCCTTCTAACCCGACCATCCTGACCTCAGTTTGTTTATTTCACTGTTTCACTCTTTCAATAAACCCCTCCATCCAAACTCACATTTCCAAGTGCTTTATTATACATTTATTTTTATACATAAATCTGTTTTTTTTTGCTTCAGAATTTCAGCCTCTATCTAGACTGTATTTCGTTGATTACAGGTGAATTTTTGGTGTTCAGTGTGGTCAGGCCCCAGCATGTGCCAGCACACTGAGCTTCACCTAACCACTGCTGTATTTTATTCTTCACAGTAACAAATAGGTGAGACAACAGCAGACTGAAACCACCAAAAATGCATTTACACCCCACTGAGCCTCATCTGTTTTAGCTCTTACGTCACCCATTGTCTTTTTTTCCAAGCATAGCCCAGTTTTAGACCAAGCAGTACATATATTACTATATGCTTAACTGCATGCTTTGTCATGGACTTTGTAAAGTAGTCTAAGATACACACGTCTGTCACAGATAAACTCTGCAGTCATGTCATTCCAGTGGAAATTTGACTACAAAATGCCAAAACAGTCATATATACATGTATGTCAAGTGTGGTTTTCTAAACATATATTTTGTACTTTGTGTATATTAACAATATACATGAACATTTAAGAGAAAATGCGTTTGGAAGGTCCTCCTACAATAGTTGAAAACCTGAGAAATTTGAACAGGTTCAATGGCAAAGACCTTTAATTTTACTTAATTAATGATAGAAAAATAAACTGAGAATTAGACCACTGACAATATGTTTAAGTGTGAAATGCATTGGTCTCATACACCTTTACTGAGTGTTTAATGTTCAGCTTTCTGCATAATGAAAAGCCATTATTAAAAATGAATAGTCCAGTAAGATGGACACAGAGTACATTATACAGTATGTTTTAAGTTATGGTCGTAGATAAGAGTGTGTGCTATCTGAACACGTGGGAATAAGTTACCACCTGGCGAGGACACATTAATCATTAGATGGATGGATGATGCAATTCTCAGCTGCAGTCAGGTGGGAAACTACAGCAGCTGGCAGCGCTCAGACCTGAATTGGGAGCACGACTCTTATATTTGAGTTAGTCAGTCTTTTACAGAGAAACATGAAGAGGCAAAACAGAACAGGGAGGAAATTAACACTAGGCCTGCGATGATTAGTCAGTCAGTCATTTTTCAAGCAAAAAATCCAAACATTTTCTGGTTTCAGCCTCAGATGTGATGATTTTGCCGTTTTACTTTGTCATATATGTTCATTACCGGAACGTTTTTTTGCGTTTAGACTGTTGGTCAGATAAAACGAGATGTCAAGATGCCTCATTGGGCTTTGGGAAATGAAAATTGGCACTATTTTCTGCCGCTTTTCATACAGAACAATTCATCAATAAATCAAATAATAATAAATGCATGCATGCAACAGATGTAGCCCTAGATACCACTAATATTTATAAAATTTTTCTGCTGTAGCCTTTTACCCTGTAGGGGTGGGGCAAATTATAGATATTAATTTACATCTTCTTGTGGTAAATGTCATCTGTGAATTGCTGAAAGGCTGGCACCAGTATTATTATATGTTCTGCTGCGGATGTTTGGCTGATTTGTGGCAGTTCAGCCACAGTGAATTTTCAGCTGCTTGACATTTAAATGGTGGCGTGTATTCATGTTATGTGTATGTTAAACTCCAACCAGTGCACTGGCACAGCTGGTTTAACTGGCTGATTTTAGCTTGTCACTGATATACTGATACTGTCAAATAACAACTGACAAGAAACAGTAGAGAGAAATTATTTTCGAGGTAGTTTAGAAAGTGTCCCCACTACATAGTTTCTTAATTTCATATCTTACTCAACTCAGCACATATCCTAGTCACAATTATTTGAGAACCATATTGAAGGGATCTTCATCAAAAATATCTATTAAACAAGACAATACAGGCCAGACTTTATCCATTTTAGATTGTTCTTACTCACAAATATTAATATCAGCCTTGAAAATCCTGTATTGGCCGGACTCATGGACTATGAGTGTTTTCCAAAAGAATTAGTGTATCTGAGAGCCCTTAAAATACAGTAACTACAGTTGTACTTTCCTGCTGCCTCTTTACTGTGACAGAATCCCAGTAACTGTTTCTACATTAAAAAGATTAAAACGTAACACATAAATCAATCTTTAACTAGAACATGGTAACTGTCAATAGGACAGTGTTTTACTTGAATCTCTTTGAGCCTGCACAACCATCACAGCTCAAAAGCACAAAGTTATCCAGAGCAACTTAAAACAAAGAGGGAAGTAGGAATTAAGTGTCTCTCACAAGAACACTTCAGTGTTGCAGAGTGTTGAACCTGTGATTCTGTTGATTCACACTGAAGATGCATAAAAGCAACTCTGCATACATAATTTCAATAGCTGGTTTATAGTTGTAGCCAAATATACTGAATACTGCAGCCGATACAAACCAGTTTCCACACAGCAAGAAAGTCACCACTAACCGGACAACCTGGCATTTCATTTGTTTGCATAGCGCTCCAACATCATGACCTCAATTAAAATGCATTTTACGTCTAAACACTGCTGTGGACACAGACCAGCGAAGGTCAGAGTTGGTGACCACAAGAGCCACCTAGTGGCTCAAACCTGACTCTAATGGTCACAACACTTATTGAGAACAAATGTTACAACAATGCATTTTCATGTAAGCCCAGTTTATTGAAAGTAATATTTATTATATTGTAGTTTGTCACTCATATTTTATGTCTATGACCTATTGAATGTGACATTAAAAATGAGAAAAATAATGCACATGGCTACTTGAATAAAGACAATTCAATTTATAGTTTAAATTCTGACACAAGCACAAACCTTGTAGGTAACAAACTTACATATGTTTTTTCCTTTTACAGAAACAGTCTTCAGATGTCAATATTGATCTACAGAAGTAGCGACACTACACTGAGTGCCAGCTGCTGTGTTTGGTTGAAAATAAGTGCCACTTAACTAAATTACGGCAATGATTTTATTGAAGTTAGTTCTTGCAGCTCTACATGGATGAGGAGCGGTGCTCCAAATGAAACCAGAAATATAACATTTACATACCAGATACACGCATACATATTACAAATTCACTTCCGATACCAGATCTTCATCTTCTTTTCACGTTTGATTTTCTTCTGCAGCTGTAGAGTCCCATAGAGGAGAGCCTCTGCAGTCGGGGGACAACCTGAGGACAGATATAAATAAAATAAGAATATATTGTTTGGAAAAGATTTTAACCTACAGAAGCTTTCCCACAAGTTCAGTCTCACTATAGCATAATTCTCTGGCAGTCCATTTATAAACTGTATAACCCATCCATATTATACAGAGGAAACAACTTATAGTAATCAAACAGCTTGGGATAAAGAAAAAAATGGTTATAATAATCATCCACTTATAGTGATCAGTTTGACCTGGACAGGCACGATCACTATAAGTGATTTCCGCTGTATTTGGCTTCTTATATCACACATTGTTTTTATCAGTCTGTGAGACACTGTTACATAATGACTGGACTGAACTGGTGGCTGCTGCATTTGTAGTAATACTGACAGCAGGACAGCAACATGATCCAGTCATCAAATACTTTCACTATTTATTACAGAAAGTACTTGTGGCACTGCTAATATTATCAGTAGGCTATTCATTAATAATGCAAGTATTTGGGCTAATACTGCTATTAAATCTACTACTGCTTCATTACAGCCACTTCTACATACAATACAATAAATAACCAGCACATCTACTGATAGTTGTAAATTACTAATGTTACAATAAATACTGTCTCTAACTGTCACATGTACAACTGGTTCTTTACCTAAACATGAGCCTTAATTTCAGACCAGAGCTATGGCTACCATGAGCACTGCAATATAGCTGTAATCAAACTGTTGACTCAAACTATTTAGAACAGGACCAACATAGCCAAAAGTATGTGGACACTTAAATATGCCCCTTTTGCGATGATTAAATATCGCTTTTAAAAAATGACAGGCTTTATTCTGCTGCTATAACAGTCTCCTCTTCTTCTTCTGAAACCCAGCTGCAGAGACCTGCTCCCGTTTACCCACAAGAGCATTAGTGAGATCCAACACTGATGTTAGGCAATAAGGCTTGACTCACTCATAACATGACCGAGCAGACATTTTATTCCATCCCAATGTTGTTGGATGTTGTTGAGGTCATGGCTCTGTGCAGGCCACTCACGCTCTTCCACACCAAACTGGGGGAATTGCGAAGCAGGAAAAGGGTCTTCCCCAAACTGTTCTCATGAAGTTGAGAGCCACAAGACTGTCCACATACTTTTGGCATATAGTATATATTTGAGATGTCCCCACAGTATTTTTCATTGCCATTTATAGGGAATTATTTTAGTTTTGATCATTTCCACATTGCACACTCAAGTTTACCTGGAACATAAATGTCCACTGGTACGATTCGGTCGCAGCCTCTGACAACAGCGTAGGAGTAGTGGTAGTAGCCTCCTCCATTAGCACAACTGGAAGAGGAAGTTCACGAGGACACTTCATAAGTTATCAAATTGCTTACTGTAAAGGTTTAGACCCTAACCCTGAACCCAAGACACAATGACTGGGTGAATATGACATTGTACGGTCCAGCATTTTAGTTGAACAGAGTTAATGTAACTATCTGATCAGCTGTGGAGACTTTATGAAAGCAGGAGAGCCTACAGATCATCAAGACAACTGGCAGGTGAGGAGGAGGCCCCTGCCAGTAATATAAATCTCTTCAGGAGGTAACTTACCTTCCCATGGAAATGACGTATCTGGGCTCAGGCATCTGGTCGTACACCTGTTGGAGAGAAGGAGGAGTTTAGCCGCTATTATATAAAGGTCTGACTAAGAACTAATCTGTCCTTTCAGCTGGAGGAAGACTTCATGCCAGTCTACCAATCCATCGACAGGCTGGTCATAATCCAGCCAGCGTTTACACAGCTATACTGTTCTCAGCGCTCCCAGACAGAAACGTCTGAAGAGAGCACTTGGACCTGACAATGTCCTTGAGCAGTGCAGAAACTCCCTCCATTCCACAAACCTGAATCAAACTTGATGCAGCAGTGTTATTTGGAGCAGCTAACATTGCTGCTGTTACATCCCACTCTTTCCCTCCTCTCACCTTACGCAGAGCTGGAGCCATCTTATTGGTCAGCGTTCCTGCCACGATCATGACATCAGCCTGTCGGGGACTTGCTCTGAACACAACTCCGAAACGGTCCATGTCGTAACGGGGCGCCGCCATGTGCATCATCTCCACAGCGCAGCATGCCAGCCCAAAGGTCATAGGCCACAGAGAGCTCTGATGAGGAAGTACAGCAGTGATAAACCAAAAAAACACTGATAGAGTAAACACAGAGACGCAGTAACTTATGGTGCTATGCAGAAAACACACGTTACTTTCTTCAAGTCACTGTTCAACCAGTTCAAGGCCGGCGGAAGCACATGTAGACAAGAGACATCACTTTTAAATATCACTTTAAGAGGCAATGTTAATATTAGTGACATTATTCTCTCTCTCTTGATATTTGTCAGACTATGAATTTTTTTTTTTTTTTTTCAGATTTTTTTCTTGGAAATATTGGGCATGGACGAAATAACACCTTTAGATACAATAGCCCAGCAGTAAATAATCAGTGTTGATGAGAGATGTGAGACTTTCCTTGTTTCCATGACATGCAGTTGTGCTGTGAGTGTGATTGTGACTAATGATCATTCAGATAACAACCCTGGCCTGTTTTTGCCTTCTGTTGCCTTGAAAACAATAAAAACAAATGTATCACTGTTAGACCTCAATGATAACTGTCTGTTTAGTGATGTTTGCTACACAATGATTCAAGTGTGTAGGTGCCTTTACTATTATTGCCTTAACTGCTGGTGTAAATAATAATCAAACTACACCAGCAAACAACAAATATAAGAACCATTCGTCTTCAGTTTCTGGTGAACAGTTTAAAATCGAAGGAACTGAGCAGTTAAAAGGTTCAGATACTATACAAGGTCATAATAAGGACCTTCACGAAAAGATGAAGCAGTGGCAGAACAACACCAAACAGTCACACACAGCATGCTAGAGTCACATCATACATCTCTAAACAGTGGACAAATAAGGATGCAAACATTCATTTAATTTACTCTACACATGCTGGATGTTAACACAGCCAACAGCCACTCATCGACTCACCCTGCGTGCCCAGTTAACCAGGTCATCCAGCTTGGTGATAACATACTCCCCCTTGCTGCTGGCTACAGATGCTGGCTTGGCTGCTGCCACTGCCGTGCTCTTCTCTCTGACTGGAACCACACTGCAACAGAAGGAGGGGAAGGAGCTTTACCATGTGCAAAGTGTTTACAGGGTGTCTGTTCTTCATTCTGATATTTACACCAGGGTATTTTTGGTAAACCCACCTAGTGCTGGTATTCTCGCTTTTAGCACTGCTGTGCAGACTCTTCCGTTGAACAACAAAAACTGAAATAGGCCTGTAGGAGGGACAGTGGGTTAGAGGGAGACATAAGACTAATAATAAAATCAGATGATGGCAAGAAAGAAATTGAAATCTCTATCATAGCATATTCATATTTCAAAAAAGCCAGTGAAAGAAAAGCACCAAAAGACTCTCAGTTCCACAAGAGGGCAACATTGTGATATAGAGATGTGAAATTTAATATCGCAATATATTATGTGTGAAGGACAGATGGACAGATTTCATTGTGGAGGTTGTTGATTTTGTCTGAGCCTCCTAAACTTGATGATGCTTTAAAGGATTAACTTGACTGTTTGTCTGAACAGCAGGCAAGCTGAGCACTCCTGCTGCCAAGAACTAAAAATGTTTTTAAGTGAGGATCCTTTTATCTTGCAATTTTCTTCATTGGGATATCGTCTGACATCAACAGAGTAACTGATAAATTGACAAACGTGTACTAAATAAAAATCGGAAAGGTTGGAGACATGTTGACATGTGTTGAAAGAACTTTATGATCTTATTGATGTTAATTGGCCTACTATAATTTGGATCAATATTCCACCATATTTTTTCTGTCTACTCAGTGTAAATTTAATTAGTTATGCTTTTATAAATGGCGGAACGTAAGCAGGATTAATGTAAGTATGAAAAGCAAACCCAACCCTTGTGAAGGATCATGATACTGTGGTAGTTGCAGGACCAGCAGGACAGAGCTGGATTAAATCAAGTTTCGAAACAAGGAGCAGGATTAGAAGGTTCTTACCTTGTTGAAAAAGAGCCAAACATGGCCAGGCGAGGCGCTGCGAAATAAAAACATTTAAAAAAACTGATGAAAACGTATAACAACAACGATATACCGTGAGTTTTTCAGATGTATAAACTGTTGTATTGCCCAAGCAGTCATCTTGTGGATTCAGGAGTGACATAAATCCTTACTTTGCTAATAAGCAATGCAGACAAATTCCTGGTGGACAAAAAAATTGCACGATACTCCCTATTCCACTATGTTATACACTGGAGTCAAACTGGACACATATGGATATGGACACATTTATTATTGTATTGAGTGGTGCTTGATGTGTTTAATGCATGCCGAATTGTACAGTAGCACTTCGTTATTTCTAAGAGCCCTTAAATAATATTTCAGGCATAATGTTTGAAAATACAGGTGACAACCCAAACTGGCAGAGTTTAAATGGGGAGTTTGGTATGACGATTTGTACATAGCTGATGATACACACTGGAGCTAACGACACGTCTGGCATGGTAGTTCGCCAACAACGTAGATAAAAGGTTAAGTGAAAGAGCCTCTGGATTGTTAAAAGATAGCATGTGTCGTTACTTATGTTCACCAATGTTAGTTCATGTTAGCTAACAGGTTAGCCGCCATGCTAACGCAGACAGAGCAAGGTCAGCGTGCGCATTCACTAAAAGTTCCAAATCCGACTGCCGACACAGTCAAAACATTCGGGGTTGCAGTTTTAAGTGCCGCAACTTTAAATGTCACGGGTATTATAAGTCTGAAAATACAATAATGTTTATTAAAACCATGTCATTTTAGTCAAAACATCACTCACCAACCAACGCCGCCATCTTTGAAATTCTCGTTACGTCAAACTGGAAACTGCTTCCTGTGCCTTACTGAGCTCGAACCGTCGAGGGCGCTGCTGTAACATTAGCAACCGGTAAATGCATGCCATAATACTGTAATCTTAGGTGCCCATCCAGAAGCGCAATCGTGATAAAGTGTAAAGTACTCTCACAAGCGAGAAAACATGACATTGTGCCATTAAAATGAAGAAGATGTCCCCTATGAATTGCAATTCCCAGCTAACAATGTTCGGTTCCGGGAACATTCCGCGAACGTTCACTGTAAGGTGCGAGAGGGCAATTCAGGAAAGTTTTCTAAACGTCTCGAGAACGTTCATTTTTGTCAAAATATGTGGTTGGTCGAACGTTCAATGACGGGATTTCAAAAATAACCTTTAGTGAACGTTCCAGGAACGTTTCTGGTAGGCTATTTTTGAGGAACTTTCAGAGAACTTTTAGGGAACGTTACGTTAAGGTTCTCTGAAGGTTCCTCAAAAAATTAGCGAACGTTCCTGTAACGTTCGTTAAATTTTGGGCGGCTTTGTAGAGTGTAACACACTGTAGTGCAGAATTGGCTGCCCTTTTAATGAAAAAGAAAACGCAACTAAGTCCTAGATGTGTTGCATGTTCTGACTGGGGGCCTGACAGAGAGTCAGTGATTAGATTAGTTATTGATGTTGGATGCATGGCTGATCGATCAGCAGCTCCTACAGCGATGGTTAAATCTGAAGTTATGTGTTGGTAGAGCCCTGTCCTTGTGGAAAGAGTGGATAAAGAAAGGAATTCAGATGCTTTGAGATCTTTGAAAAAACAATCCACTGAAACCTTTTGAAGAGTTAAACAAGGGGTTTAGTCTCCCTCGATCCAGTACGTGGGAGTACCTACAACTGAGACATTTGCTGTCAACTGAGCTGAGCTCTCCAAGAGCACCCCCTTAGCCATATAAACTGCTCTCTAAAATCCTTGAAATGTTTGGACTGAGCCATGAGGCCTCTCAATACTATTCAAAAATATTATGCAGGGCTGCAACACTTCCAACAGTATAAAGATTATCTGGGAGAAAGATTTAAACCTTTCATTTAGTTTGTTAGAATTGGATATGCCGAAATCAAAGAAAACTGTCAAGGGATATAAAAGAAAGACTAATTCTATTTAAAATCCTCAATAGCGTCTATTGGACAACATCTAATGTATCAATTAGACCTTAAAAATACAGCAGACTGCTGGAAATGTCAGCGCTCAGAGGGCACATTACTCCACGGCAATGCCCTAAGATTCAAGACTTTTGGAAACAAGTCCACCATTGTATAAAGGAGCAGTGAGGAGCAATGACTTTGAACTTTCTCCCACATGAACTGATGAAAAGATCCACAAAGCCTAACATCTGCCATCACAAATGACCCTATCATATGTGTTAACACGATATCAATTATTAATTTTAAATTAAAGTATCACGGTTATTGTCAATATATACATAGGTATATACTGCATATATCAAGACACCCCTGATTTTAACAGTTATACATTGTAATGTTCCCTGGAACCTGGCCTACATTAAAGTTCCGAGTCTCAGATTTAATTTGAACACTTTTACATTAGAATAGAAATAACTATGAGGGAGATAAAGGACTTCTAATGCATTGTGCCCTAAGATACTAAGCAGCTTTTGGAAATGCTTTAGCCTAAAGTTAAGATGCTGTGGTGTCATCCTGAGGGTATTCCATTTAAATTTGCTTTGATCATTTGTTCCCTCACATGGGAATCTGCATGAAATCTTCCTTACAAACACTTTGGGAGGCATATTTGAGCAGGATTGATCGGTTCTGGTTACTCACAGTATAGTCTTAATAGAACTGAGTTTATACTTTCACTTTCACACAGATGTTAGGACTTGAGTTTTATAATTCAACTGGAGACTGGCTTTACAGGTTGAGCTGCATTCAGATGTGTGTTGTCATGACAAACATAACATTTAATCATAATTATCAGGTTCAAAATGCGCTCCTCATGTCAGATAGGACAGCCTGAGTATGTTTTATAAACCCTATACGTAAAAAATCAGTACCTGATACAACACTGGTTGTATTTTGTGTGCTTCATCAGATTCAATTACTGCGTTTGATCACACTTCCAGTAATACATTGATGATCTTAGACTTTTTCTGTATGATGAAAGAAACTTTTTTTTTTCAGTTGAGTAACTATAAAGTCTGCAAATCCCCAGATACTATGACAGGTGCTGAAAAGCTACAGACAAAGGAGGAGGAGCACAGGTATGATTGAGTTCAAGTAGATGGGTGGCATTCATGTTTCTTAATCTCATTTGTTTTTCCAGTAAAGCAGTGTATGAACACAGTGCACAGCAGCAAAACTCAAAGACCCAGCATATGAATGCAACAATAACAAAAACAACCAACACTGTTTTGAGCAAAGCTGTAGATGGAGCTGGTCAGAGCCTGCAGCCTCCAGAGCAGATGAGAGTGCTGATGAATGTGAAGTGATGTTCAGTTGTTTTTCCATGAATGTAAAATGAGATGATTGAAATAAAGAGAAAAGCCCTCCGAGAAAGACTGGAGAAAAATCAAGATGGGAGAAACTGTATTAATGTTAATTAATTTGAACAACGGACTTCTATGTTCTAAGCTCAAATTTTAAACCTGATTACTCAGTCTGACATGCAGCCTAAATTTTTTATTTTTGTTATTTGATTGTGGTATTAAATTGGTAAAACTTAGTGTTATGTAATGCACACCTGACAGACAGGTGCATAAGAGAAAAGTATCAGCACTGAGTTGAACCAATGTTTTGGTCATGCACCTCTGTTGGACATGACTGGCTGTGCAGGAATGAAACCTTTCTTTCATTAAACTGGAAAAAGCTAATGAATCCTAGCATTTGAAGATGAAAAATGTTGATTTTCACTTTTAGTCAAAAATGACTTGCCTTTAATTATAGTAATTTGGATAGCTCATTAATCTTCCTCTCAACCATCTCCTGCATCTTGTTTTTGTTTTGGCCTCATTTTGGTGCCAAAACCGAGCGAGCAACACCAGCCGCAGGACACCAGCAGGGTGGAGATGGAGAGCAGCTAGAGAACATGGAGAGCATGTCATCACATAATAACAGCCACAGCACTGAAAACACATGCTGCCGTTTCTCCAGGAATAGCTGCTCAGAGCAAAAGCAGCGACTGGTCAAAACCAACTGGAAAAGATGAAAAGACGTTTTTACAAATGGCTTTTATTCTGCCTTCATCACGTACAAACTTCTTGGGACAGTTGAAATAATAATAAAGTCTGAGAACTGAAGTTGCTTTGCTAGTGGTTTTTTAAGGTCAAACCAAATTCAGCCATATATATATATATAGCAGAGTTTTTAAGTACTTAGAGTTCAAAACATTAAATATAGGCACTGGAATAGCTTAAAAGGACACATGTTTTAAGACTACAGCATTGTTCAAAGGCTTCGCCTGCCACTAGCAGGCAAAGAGCTCTTGCATTTCAGATAATAAGCATGAATCCACATTAAAAAAGACAGTTCTGTATAGGAGGAGCAAAAATACAAGTTAAGCCGTCACAGACTTGGAGGTTATAGTGGCAGCGTGTGTAGCTGTGCTGAACTGCAGACCACAGGAATGGACTATTTTTGGAAAGATCTCCTCCTCTGAAAGAAGAAAGCGCGGTTCGCCTTCTCACTGAGAGTCCAGGATGTCTGTGGGTAGGATGCCTGGTTTGCCACTCGGGCTCTGTGATGTCTCCCCTGACCAGGAAGAGGGGGTGACCTGATTATAGAGGACGTCCTGAGAGCCAAAAAGTGGCGCTTTGAGATTCAGGATGTACATGAGGAACAGATTCAAAGCCACCATGGCGAGGAGTGGGAAGACAGTCAGGCCGGAGCCGAAGCCACGCCAGGAGCTGCACACGTTCAGGCTGACCCAATAAACAAGCCTGTAGAGGATTAAAGAAACCAAAACAGGGAATCAGATCAAGTTCAAACATCACGGCCTGTCTGATGACAGTTTGATGAAGCAAGATTACCAGTCAAACCAGACTCACTTCCTGTCAATCAGGATCATTGGCAGGAAAATTTGTTTCATACAAGAGGTTAAAATAAGTCTGACATAAGTTACAATGGAAACCCCCCCCCCCCCCCCCATAATACCCTGGCTCAGGTCAGGCTAGTTTCTAGACTTGGCTTCACTTGCAGTGTTAAAACCTATCTACCAAACTAAAACACAGTGTCTTCCAGTGGTGGAGGAAGCACTCAGGTCCTTTACTTAAGAGAAAGTATTAACGCTACACTGTATGTAAAATTTCTTTTACAAATGAAAATAATTAATTAAGTAAAAGTATGTAAGTGTACTCAGGAGAGTGTAATCAAAGTATTAAAAATAAAAGTACTCATAATGCAGATGTTATACTATACTGTATGTGTGTGTGTGTGTGTGTATATATATATATATATATATATATATATAAAATCAAAGCTTTTAAATGCATTGTGATGCAGACAATGTTAAATGTCACTAAAATAAAATAAAGTCATATTTTCATATGTGGGTAAATATATCTTAGCTGATTTTAGCTTAATCTTAGCATAAATAATGTGAACAAAGAACAGCTACCCTGGCTCTCTTTGAAGGCCTCTAAAGCTCACTAATTAACACATTATATCTATTTTGTTTAATCTGTACAAAACCCATAAAGTAAAATTAAAGAAGCAGACACCCAGAAACCAATTAGCAATACAAGAGGGTCAGACCATCAGTCTAAAGGTCTTTAAACAACTTCAGATCTGTTTGATGTTGCACGTTATATAACTATCTAGTACAATAATTTTAGCACTTATAAACAAAACTCCCATCCTTCATATTGGACTTGAACGCACAGTGGCTGCAAAAAACTGGGAAAAACCGAGGAGTTTGGAGGAGGAGTTCGTCTTTACTTGTGTCACAGTCTGTCTACAATATGCTGCCAAAATTCTCTTTGGCTTTGTTAATGACAGTGGTTGTGTTTGTTTTTAGCCATGGCTGCAGGAATGGCCATGTTGGTCTCTCAGTC